TACTTTGTAAACCCTATATAAAGATAAACGTATCAGTTAAAGAATGCCCGAAAGACAGAAACAAAATCGATCCAAGGTTACCTCTTATCGAGATATTTCTCCTTCTTCGAGTTTGTTTTTTTTGTTTCCTTCTCTCTCTCTTTAGAGACCAAAATTGCACATCTGCACAAACTCCATTTCGTTATCGACGTATTTAGTCCAGAGAGACTTGTACTGGTTCATAGCAATGTCAAGCCATGGTTTCATGTTTCCATTGTAATGGATCACTGCTGCATTTCTGATCTCGTCCATGCTCACTCCTGGGTTGTAACCTAACCCAAGCACATGCCAAGATTTGTCCAATGATTTCGTCTTTGAATAGAATGTGATCAATCCTGGAGGTAGAGTGCCCAATTTCCAGAGAGTTCTGTCTTCATTCTGCTTGGAAAAAGAAACATAAGATAAGCACACAAAAAGCTTTGATATTTCTAAAGTTACTAAAAAAAAAGCATACATTATATCACTAATCGCGATGGACATACCAAGTTCTGCCAATAATGGTATTGATCGGTGCATTTCTCACGCCTCCAGGCATTGAGATCGAATATATTCATTCCAAAAGCCCAAGCACAAGCATTGGGGTTAAAACTCTCTTTGATCAAAGGATGCGTGAAGTTTAGGTATTGACCATATCGATGAAAAGAGCCAAAACATGTCTCAACAGCTCCATTCACCTTGCCATCCAAGTTGATCTTCCATAAACCAGTCACGTCTTTCTGTACCACAACGTCATCGTCCAAGAACAAGATCTTGTTCAGCTTCGGATACATCTCTGGTAAGTAAAATCTGAGATGGTTCAACATGGAGAGATATTTTGGATTCTTGAACTTGAGATTATGGGAATCTTTAGTTGCATTCTCAGCTTGATGCTCAAAGTAAAACTTCTGCAACTTAGCAGACTCGAGCTGCCTCAAGACCGGTGCATATGAAGAGTTTAAGAACTTGAAATCCTCCACTGACTTGATTTCAACATGGGCACCACGGTCCAAAGGACGCATCTTAAACCAGACCTTCATGGCTGCAAGATTCATTCGATCGGTCACCACGTGAAAGACATGCTTCCATGGCTCCTCGGCATTCATCACAACCGATCTCACCACAACTGACACAGCAATCACATTGTCAGAGAAAATCGCATAGTGGTAAAGACTTGGATCTTCCGTGGCTGGATCAGGTGGAGCATCCCTGTACTTCTCAGGATTTGAGATCCTCTCACCTACAAGCCTCATGGCCAAACAATGAAGACTTTTAGGAACCGACTTAGCTGAAATCAAGCTAGCAACAGCGCCGTTTTTCTTCGCCTTTGTCAACTGTTCTTGAACAGCAAAGATTGTATCTTTCAGCTTCTGGATTTTTAGCTGTGTATCATAACTCTCTTTCGACTCAACAATCATCATCCTCGCTGTCTTCACTTTATCTTTCACTTCTTTCTCAAGCTGCCTAAACGAATCCTCCTCGAGAGCATTACCGTCTTCAGAAACAGCAGATTTCAAACCAGGTTTCGACTGCAAATCCGAGAAGTTTATAGCCAAATCTTCAAACAGCTTTAGCTGCTTGGAAGCATCAAGCTTTAGCTTCCTAGCGTAAGCCGCATATGCATTCACCAGTGTCAAATGATCAGTCGCTTGCTTGTGTATCAGATCTAATCTCGTTTTCAGTGGATCCGATTGTAAAGCCAAAAACGTTCTCTGCATATATGCGTTTCCCATACTCGGCAATGTCTAAATCCACAGAACAACAAATCAGAATTCCAGCATTGAAAACAAAATCGAAGCTCAGATTCAAAGAATTACCACCGATTCATTCTAAATTTGATCGAATTGCAAATTTAATCAAAAGCATAAAGGAGAGATTGAGAAGCGTACATGATCCTGATGAGGTTGATGACGAGAGGAGTTAAGAACGACGGAGAACGTTGCAAGGAAGAGAAAAGAGAACAAGGCGGAGATAAAGATCCGGTACGAGAAGAAACTGCGAAGTCCGGTGGATCCGACGCCGCCTCGGCCTCCACGGAAGGCCACCGCCATTATCTACCGATACAACTTCACCTTTACCGGTCAGTTTTATTCCAGATCGGGATTTTTTCGATTTTGATTTGTCGGTGAGGTTCTTATTGCTTTGCCCGAGAGAAGAAGATGAGTGACTTAGCCTCTACAGAGTCTGGAGAGTGACGGACAGATCTCAAACATTTAGTGAAGAAAACACGT